TAATTTATATATATATAAATTATTTATATAATTTATATAATATATAAATTATATATAGCCAATAAAGTTACTTTCCATCAATTTCATCCTTCTGATGCATTAAAAATTACAATTTGATACCAACTTAGGAAGATCTCTGCAAGCTGCACCCAAAACTTTCATGGGCTGAAAAACTATATACTTCTACTCTATTTTATTACAGAGCTGGTTACTGTATATATTTAGTGTAAACTTCTTAAAATATCAATTTTCATGTTAGTTGTTGATCTGTGTGCTTTTCCTCTGGATATAACTATCAAACTTTGTAATACCTGTATGCTTTCATAAACCTCTTATCTATCATCTACGTAATGTAATATTCATTTTGGCTTACTGCTAGATGCCAGATATTTTCACCTCTTGTTTGTATAGCCCAGCACAGCACTTCATCATAACAACAGATTAGATTGGTTAATTTAATGCTTTAATTAGAAGGTTTTCTGGATGAATTGAATAGAATTTTTGCAGATGCATTATTAATACAAGGGCTTATAAAATACAAAAAGCTAAAAACCATGTTAAAAGAAGAATTGTTAATTCTCTAACACAGGAAAAAATGACACCTGTGCTTAATCGCTAAACAACCTTTTTTTTTGCTTGACCAATATTTTTATTATCTGTAAAGTAATGCAAGTTTAATTCATTAATTTAAAACATTAAATTTAAACAATTAAATTAGAACTAACATAATGGCTTGTTGCTATAATATATTGGGAGATTGAGAAATAATTAAATAAACTAATGTTACATAGGAAATTGAATCTTGTAATACACATTTGTATGAAAACTAGCTTCCACCATTTCAGTAACCTCTCCATTTTAGAATAATTTTCTTGGTTAAAATAGCATTCTTCTGTTTTTTTATTATTTTTTTAACAATACCTGATGTTTCCCTTCTTAGGAAGATTCTGAGAAGGCTAGGCATTCATACCGGTCCAGCCGGCAGTCATATCTGGTTTGTACTAAAGTTAGATTTTAAAAGTAAACTCAGTCTTACATTATCAATTTTTTGTTTTTTGTTTTTTGTTTTCCTTTTTAAAAGTGCCACTTCATTATTTATTTAATTTTTTTGATTAGGGAGCCGGTGATTTGGTATCCTCTCGAAACACTGGTAGTCACAGGGTTAGTATTTAAAATTTATTTCAATAAAAGTAATGCAGTATTTGTTTCATACCAATGTAGTTTAAAATTTTGGTATGTGATGTGATTATTAATATATTTGCGTGCTGGTTCTTATGCAATACAGAACAGAGCATAAAATGAAAATTTTGAAAAGTTCAGAGATAATTCTTTAAATAGAAAAATGCAGTTTCCTAGAATAACTGTTAAGAAAAATCTAAAATACACAATGTAATGATGTTATTTCATCATTAAGCTAAATATTTTCTGTATTCAAGATTTTGTCAGTACAGTATCTATGATAATGCAGTTTTTATATCTGCATGGGTTGCCTACTGAGCTGCAGTTTGAAGAAAATTGGTTAAAGTTAACTTTAGTTAGGACAAATGCTGTTCTACAGCTAAAGGAATTGTTACAACTACACTGGGACTGTGGTACTGTAATTCACATTTCACATTAAGCCATAACGTGATATGTTTGGTTTTGACATAGAATGTTGTGTCAGTCCACCATTGTGGTTTGCAAACCATAGTTTATGACTCAACATAATATGTATGAACCCAGGTAATTATATTAGTCAACAATCATGGGTATTTAAACCATGGCTTGGCCTAATATGCAAACTAGAGCTGCACTAAGCTCTCAAAAGAGATACTTTGCAAAGTGTATTAACATGAGTAAAGTATGTGCATGCATGCAAAAATGCAGAAACACTTCTGAGACTACCAGTAAAGTAAGTGACTTTGCATACACACACATTGATAGTAACTGGGAATAGCCTTCAATACAACTGTGGAAGCCTTCAAAAGGATGTATCTACTATAATGCTATGCAGAGGGGATCCTTTATGCTAACATTCTTTGCAAATCACCTCTTTTGAATGCTTTGCATAGCCAAACTTACTAGTGAATTTGTAATCCTTTAATAAGAAAGGAACAAATACTCTGGTTCTACATGAAAATATTCTGAGTTGGAAAGTGAATTGTAAGTTTTAATTAGAGTTTTTGGAGAAATTAAAATAATATATTGTTAGATGACAGGGGCAATAATTCTATACTCATTTTCTTAGAATTAAATCCTTTTGAATTTATTGACTTAGTTCTGAATAGACAAATCTTCCAGATGTTAGGGTTTCAATTCTCACAGTTCCTTATAATAGATCATGCTGTGAAGGGCTAATGAGAGCTGAAGTTCAAAAAACTGAAAGCTATCTAATTGCATAACTGTATGCACGTCCAATATATTAACTTAAAACAAGCTAGCTGTGGCAATGACCCCTTTAGGCAGAAAGATGGAGAGCTGACATGACAAAGCAGTTGTACGTGCCAAAAGCAAACAATGGAAACACCAAAGGTGTAGGGAGTTTAATTACATGTATTCATATATGGCCCTTAACCTCAGGTACATGATTTTAAAACAAAAAAGTGTCTTATGAAGTATCTATCATTCAACCAATTAAATCAATTCATAATATCCAACTAAAGAGATAAGGAGCAGCAGTATATGTCCTTTACATTCACTTTCCCCAACAAATTAAGGTTGTTCGCCTCCTTAACTAGTTTCTCTTCATCCCATCTGGCATTGCACTTCTCTGCCTGGGCAGTCAGCTGGTTCAACTCCAGGCCATGCTGAAAGCTTGGGAAGTTTGTATAAGCCTAAATAGAGAAACCCAGCAGCAGCTGTTCTTGTTGCCTTAGCTTTCCCTCTGCCATCAGCTTCAGTCCATCATCACCGTCATTCTTTCCCCACAGCCATCTCTTTGTCAGTGGAGTTTTTAAGTTCAGCAGACACTTAAGTCTGAAAATACTCTTTCCCTGCTGAATGAGGCTTATTCTCAAGGTGACTGGTGTTTTTCCTTCACCGCATTAACATCAAGCTAAATGTTAATCTCATAATATTAACTTGTTTAAACTTCCAAAGAAAAAAGTAGTATGGAAATAAATTATGTTGATAAATATGGTAAGAATTAAAATGATGAGAATTGAAGCCATGAGCATAATGCTTTAGATTACCATAAAACTATGATACTCTAAAAGATTGTTTAGAATTATAAGGAATAAAAATAACCAATAATCAGCCTGTTTTGTAATGAAATCAATTTTTGAAGTTCATAATCTTTCATAACTTTGTTCTTAAGAGTCTTTCCTTGGATGTCAGTGGGTCCCACAGGAATAGAGCAAGTAGCTCCCGGAAGAGAGATGTAGTGGTTTGTAGTCCAGTTCAGCATGTTGTGGTTTGTTCATATAACACTTCGTTATGCACTAATAAGAATGACAGCATAATATTTTAGTAAAATTTTCATTAAGTGTGAACTGTGTGCGCATGAGAGAGACAAAAAACCAGAATCTAAAATTACTGACTATAAAACCAGTAGTTATTGCATGCCATACGGAGGGTATTGATTTATAGGCATACCTCGTTTTATTGCGCTTCACTTTATTGCACTTTGCAGATTTTGCGTTTATCAAACAGCATCGCATGCTATAGAGAAATCTTTCGTGAAAGGAAAAGTCAATTGATGCAGCAAATTTCATTGTTGTCTTATTTTAATAAATTTCTAAATTAAGGTATGTACATTGATTTTTTTAGGCATAATTCTATTGCACACTTAATAGACTACCGTATAGGGTAAACATAACTTTTATATGCACTGGGAAACCAAAAAAATTGTGTAACTTGCTTTATTGCAATATTCACTTTATTGCAGTGGTCTGGAATTGAACCTGCAATATCTCTGAGGTATGCCTGTACTAAAAAAAAAGTGAGATGGGAATAGGTATGGGTTAAATCTTTGCTTATATACAATGCTATCTTTGAAATACTAGTGTCCATAAAAATCTGTAAAGTTGAAACAATTCAACTTTATGCATGTAATGTAAATTATACATATGAAAATAAGAATTTTTTAATCTCTTTGCTTACTTTGGCTATTTCTAATGGATTGTATTAACTTTTTTCCTTTTGTTCTTACATTTAAGGTCTATTTGTTTCTTTTGCTTTAACAAAAACATTTATTTGTTTATTCATTACCTGTCTGTCTGTCTATCTTTCTATGCAAGCTCATGATCTTAATTAGAACAATGCTCATTGTTTAATATCCTCCTGAAAGCTGTCAGGGAAAAGGCTAGCTGAAAAATGTTGCCTGTGGTTTTAATTATTTAAATATAATTTTTTTTTATAACGATCCCCTTTGAAGGAACAAATGATGAATGAATTTTGATATATTAGAACAGAAAATATGGCTGTGTTGTGAATATACTCCAATTCAGTTCAAGTGCAGATTTCAGGAGGACATGATTTGATTCATAGCTGTGATTTGAAATTCAGTGACAACCCAATTCAGTTTCAGCTAATTTGAGATTTTTTTAAAAAAAATGTTGATAAATTGTAATAAGGAAAAGTATTATATCTGAAACTGTTTTATTTTTTGACAGAATGGGATAAAAATAGTAGGAATGTTAGATCATTTATTAAAGTTTCAGCCAGAGAGCTTTAGTGGTTTTGTAACAATGACATTTTGAAAATATTCCCCTGTACCTCTTTCAGGACAGAGAACATAGTTGAAAGGCAATACAACAAAGCTTCAAATTGTCTACTGTCTAACAAAAACTAAACAAACAAAAATGCTTACAGAAAAGTTGGCTGAATCAGTGCCAATTTACTTTCCAATTTAAAAGGTTTTGAAAATTATTTTAAAACCCAAATTTTAAAAATTACTTTAAAATAAACTCTTTTATTTGCTTTTCTGGGGTGGCACAGGATTCTGCTTGGCTGCCTTGGATTTTCTGGGGTGCCAGAAAAGCTTGGACTCTGCCAGAAAGGATCCATTCAACTCTTTCTGAATTGTGGCTTGTTGGTGAAATCTATGTTAGTTAATTAGCAGAAACAGAAGAAGCAGGTTGGCTAAGTGAGATACAGTGTCACAGAGAAAGTGTCTGGCATTTCTAGTCTTGTCCTCTCTCCTTGTAAATGTTTGACAGTCTTGCCAAATGAGTGCATACTGGGCTGGTCATTCTGGAGCCCAAATTCAAATTGCTGAGAATTGAGCTGAGCTTCCAGTTGTGTTGGCAGGCCTCCATAGAAATAAAACATTATATTAGTCCAAAGCAGAGCAAAGTTAAGGCTTATGGCTTATGCATTTTAGAGCTGAGAGAGTTAACCAAGACTAAAGTAATATAGGTAGTCTTTGAGTTGCAATATTTGTTCAATGACCATTTGTTCAGCGACTGTTTGAAGTGATGGCACTGAACGAAGAAACTTACAACCAATCCTTGAAGTTCTAGCCGTTGCAGCATTCCACAGTCACGTGATTGCATCTGCGACCTTCCCTGCCAGCTTCCCACAAGCAAAATCAACAGGAGGTCAGCAGGGAAGGCCTGCCCTGGGCCTCCCTGTGCTTGCATATACAGACACATGCACCTCTTTCCTGGCCTTCCTGCGCTTGCATGCACTCACCCCACACTCTCCTTCCCAGCCTTTCTGCGCTCTCACACATGCATGTACCCACCAGCACCCTCCTTCCTGGGCCTCTCTGTGCTCGACATACCCTGCACCGTCTTTTCCTGGCCTTCCTGCGCTCCCTCCCACACGCATGCATCCACCAGCACCCTGTTTCCCAGTCCTCCCTGAACTTGCATACATGCAGATACCCCGCACTCTCTTTCCTGGCCTCCCTGCACTCGCACATATGCACCCCCCCAGCACGCCCCCTTCTTCTCCTTCCTGTGCTCACATGCATCCCATACCCTCTTTCCCGGATGCAATGCAGCACCACCTTGGCCAACTTACATGCATCCTGCCAAGGCCTCCACCTCCTGTAGCACTCCCATGTTCCTTACCTGGGATTTCCTCCACTCCCCCCCCCCACAACCTGAGGCTCCCTCCATTTCCTGCTTAACACCCTGCACGTCTTGGATTACAATGACAACCGGAACTGCCTGGATTGCTGTTGCTAAGCAATGCGGTCACATGATGTCACACTTTACGACTGCATTGCTTAGCAATGGCAATCCTGGTCTCAGTTGCAGTCGTAACTTGGGGACTACCTGTATTAGCCTTGCCATCCAAAAGACCTCTGACAGGCAGGGAGTTTAGCATGAAAAATCTTACTGGGTAGTAATCCATATCAGGGTCAGAAAGTTCATCATAGCACTCAATCCCTCTTCAGCATTATTCATATATGTAATTTAAGTTATAACATTGGATGATAGAATATCAGAATGAGCAGAAAAATCAATTCTCTAAAGCACTTTGAAGTATTTCAGAGTCATCTTGTTAGAATTGTTTCTTCAAAGCAGGTCACTATTTCAGTTCATGAATCTGCTTCAAAGGACTAATTTTATCAAGCTTTGTCAAACTGAATCACCAATTTGAAACTTCACACAGCCCTAGAAAATCACCCAATAGCATGTTCAATTTTTAATATCTCGATATTAGCACTACCTTTATCTGTGTTTGCTCTTCTGTGCATTGTGAAGACATAGTAAGTATGTAACTCTTAAACCATTTCTACTGTTTTGCAAATTCTGGGCAAGGCAGTTGTTGCTTCATGAAATAAAAGAATGATGCAGTTTTTTTGTATATCAGGATGACAACAGTGCTAGAAAACCTCATCTTGATGAGAAGGTTTACATATGAGAGACTGGACTTTTTCCCTTCTGGCATTTCTTCCCTACTTTGATGAGGATGCAATTCTTTGCTGTGCGAGATGATAAGATTCTGGCTAGAATTGTTACATTTCTGGATCAACTACCTGTGTTGCACATCCAATATGAAATTGTGGATGTGTATTTTAATAGAATTCATTGCCAGATATAATGTTGGTTGGCAAGCTTTTCTGCATGTTTTTTGTGCATATCTTCAAAACCAGTTCTACCAAGATTTTTCTATGTATCATGAGCCATCATGATACACATCTATAATTTCTGCAGATCTGAAACTTTGGATGATGCTATTAAATGTCTGTCAGTATATAATTATTGAATATTACCCAAAGGAAAAATACAACAATTCAGTAAGTTGCAAGAACAAGGGTCAATTCTTTATTTCTTCTTAATTAAGTTTGCTTATAAATATATTTTGTTGAGATGGCCATATGATAATTTAAAATTATTTATAAGGATGCCACTTATGTTGATAATTATTTACGTGGATGATAATTACAGTATTTTTATAATTGTAACTTTTATAATTTTTACAGAGTCATACTTACAGTGATTCTTATGGTGGGAAGAAGTCTTCTAGCTCTCATAAAGATCTGTTGGTTAGTGTTCTCAGTTGGGATTTGTTACAATGTCTCTTAATTGTTTCTTTATACAATGCCACCTATATTTATTTTATTGTTTTTAACATATTTATAACTCAGCCTATATTAGTAGATCTCAGTAAAGGATACAGTTAATTTAAAAACCAGCAATATTCCATAAGTCGTCATATAAACTAGGGCAATACAGTGATTTTGGAGTCAAAGGGGAAAAGGTTTGAGTCAGTGGAGATGTTAACATGGCATCTGCCAATAACTCCTTAAAGCAGCTGTATCTTTTCCCAATATTGTGAGGTTGCCCTCTGCAGTTGCAACATGATCTTAGGAAGAGACATGCTTGGTTCAAGGAATTGCCCAACAGTGCTGCAAGTGTGCCTGTGCATGCTCTGAAGCATGTTTTCCCTTTGAATGAAAAGTGCTGCATAACCTTACCATAAAGATGGTAACAGCTCTAAGGGACTACTAAGGAGGAAAACCCTCTACACTAAACTGAATAAAACTTCAGTTTTCATGTTAAATGTTTACATGCCATCAATATAACACTAAGATTGGCCATAGCCAGGCCTCCAAAAGAAAGGTAATTCTGTAAAAGAAGGCCATAGGAGAGAGAGGTTTATTTCCCTTTCCCTGACATGTACAGCTCTCAATAGGATGCAAGGGAAATCCCTTTCTAGGTTTTAATACTTTGACAGATGTACATACATAGAGATGTTCCCTGAAATATTGTGCCAATATAATGATAACATAATGAAATATTATAAAATATTATGTACCATGTTAATGAAAACATACTGAGGCCTGACCTAAAACTTTTTGGAAGCCAAGGCAGTTCCTATAAGACCAGTGTACCTTTAAAACAAATATTTCTCTATCTGTACCTGATAGCAATTTAGCTACCACATTTTGTTTTAGGTACAACTTCTAAGTTGTATTCAAAGATAGGTGTATTATTGTAGATAGATGGGAAGTTCCAGGGCATAAATTATTGATTGTAAGTATTTAACTGGCCCAAACTGGCTGAAACATATAGAGTCAACAAAGCAAAAACATCTAAAGCACCCAATCCTCCATTAAACAAGATGAAAGTAGGAAAACTCTCAAGCTGTCTGCTGCTTCGGATGGAATGTGATCCCATCCAGGACAGGACACCTAGTTCCTGGGCTCGGGAACCACAAATCCACAGGTTTCATCCTATTAGTTTTCTGATTATCGATTCTCTTCTAACTCATAAGTGTCCAGTCCTGGGTTTAGTAATAGTTGTAGTCATTTTATTTATTATGTGCTTGTCCCCTTTAGTCTATAATTAATTATTAAGAATTTGATAGAGTTTGGTGTTTTAATTTTATAGTACTGTGTTAGCAATCCTAGCTTTTAGCTCTCTTTTATCGCTTATAAGTTTCAGTGGAATTATTGGAATGGGTATAGTTTTCCTTGTTTGTATTTTATGCTGGTCTATGACCAAAATAAAAGTTTTGTTGTTGTTATGTGCTTATAACTAAGCACAGTGTTGACAGGATGAAACAATATTTGATACAATACCTTAATACAGTCAACTATAACATAGTAAAAAACTAAAAGGTCCATAATATATTTATTTATTAAAGTTTTTGCTTGCTTTCATCTGATTCTGATGATAGAGAAAAATAGATCCACTATCAGCATGAATTATTGACCATATAGTGTCTCATCTGATGGACAGAAATCTTGCTGATGAGGCAATCTCTTTGCCTACTTTGTGCAATGGCAGGTAAAAGTGCCAGTGTCAGGAACATTAAAATGTGAAACAATTATTGGTTCTGGTAAAAATTTGACTCCTCCAGTACAGTTTTGCTGCCTTGTTTCCAGTATATGTGTTTGATCTTTTTCTATCTGTTGCTCCTGCAAGATTTTTCTGAAATATTTTGAATTGTTGAAGTTGATGTTGAACCATGAAAATAAAACGTTGCTTCTCATTGTGTATTTAAGTGGTCATAGAAATTTTCTTTATGAAGCCTCTCAGTAATAAGTGTTTGACATTCCACTGGAGAACAGTCTATAGAAGGTCAAATACTTGATGAGAAGTAAATATCTGTTACAACCTCAGTGAATCATTGCAATTCACAGCTTAAATACCTTGTTTTTACAGAACATTAGTGAACAATTTCAGAACTTTTACGTTTGTAGAGTTTTGTTGTTCGCTGATTAAATCTGAGGAGTTCTCTGAACAAGATGAAATAAGTATTTTCTCAAATCTTCCACATACAATAGTAAATTTAGTTTATTACATTGTGAAGTTAGCAGATACGGTAGATTTGTCACGGTTTCAAGATACTGCATTATAGGGAAGTATTGTCTTGTTTAGCAGACATATATAACCAAATAATTTTGTCATGTATAAAAAGATGATGTCATTAAGAGAAATCAGCACAGAAAGTTTATGAGGTTTTATATGAAAAGACTGCATCACCATGTAATACAATATCTTCATTTGGTTTCTCACTGAAACTGATTACTGTACTTCAGCACTTTGGAGCATCATAATGTATCTTGAATACTGAAGGAAAGATCATTATTTGCAGCCCCTGATGAGTTTGCGTTTGAGTAGCTTTTACACTCTTGTCGTATTTTTTTTAACAGAGTGGATTTTATCATGACCAGCGAAATTACAGCAGCCTTAGACATAGCAAACCACTTTCTACTTATCATCCTCGGGTTTGTTGGATTTTTTTGTATGAATTATTTTGCTGAACAGGTTTTTTCCCCTTTAATAAAGCATAACAGCATGAGAATTTAGCATAACTAAAAGCTTTGCTTCATTTGGGTGTCGTTTGGATTAACAAATAGCTAAGGATCTAGTGAGTTTTTTTCTTTTTTTTTAATCCTGTTTTGATTGATGCAATGTGAATCATATTAGGATTAGAAGTAATGCTGGGTTCAGGAATTTAGATTTCTTTTCACTTCTTGTCATGCAGCTGTCTGTTTTGAATTTGCCAATATGTTAACAATAGACATAACACATTTTAGTATTATGGGCAATCATTCTAAAGCTCTTTTTTCTGAAAGATGGGATCAGTGTAGCCTTGTGAATGGTAATACCTTATTAAATATCTAGTGAAATGTTTAATCTATTATTGCCAGCTTTGGACTGTGTATTTATTGTTTCTTTTCTATCACTTTATGACAATACTCACACTGTTTCTTATCTGCATGTATGATGTACAATGTGCATAATTTGTACAGCATTAAATATAATACAATGCCTTATTCTTCTCACAGTCATCATCTCTATACAATGAACCTCTGGCAACAACTAAGAGTTACAGGGTTAGTAAAATGTAACATGATAAATAATGTTTAGGTATTGTAATATTTATATATAGTGTAAATCTAAAAACAGTACTCTCCTCTATAGGCTTCCTCAGATGTAAACACTGGTTTGATAAGAAGTACCAGTTTGGTTCGTATGTAGATCTGCATGATCGCTTTAGCCTGCATTCTGAGCTTACTGTACCTTGAGAGCATTGTATATCTTCTTTTGTAAATCTTTAGGTTAGGTATATAAACATATAAGTGTGAAGAATATCAGAAAACTCTTCTGAAAAGAAACAAAATGTATACAAACTCAGGCTCTTAAATCTGTAGAGATTTTCTTAAATTATACAGTGCTTCATGCCTTCCTGCAAATATAAAACATTAATGATAATAAGCGTGTACTTATTTCTTAACTGCTTGTGCACATTTGAAGAGGTCCACTATTCTTTCTTGTTGAGCTGTATACATACATATCAAAGTAGTTTTGCAAGGCTGCCTTGCAACTCCTTTTTCCCTTGGGACTCTTCAGAAGAGCTAAACTTAGGCAGATATTACACGGACTCATATGATATTTCATCAGTGGTTGTGTCTTTCAAGCTGGCTTCTGTTGCCCTAAAAAGAAACCTCATAGATGTGATATGCTCATTTTGCAGAATACAATATGAGGTGGCACATCTGATGTTTTTAGATTCTTCAGATAAAAAGCTTCTTACAGTCCTTTAGGAAAGAAGAACTAAGGAAAGGTCCATGATTATGGAAAACTAATGAGTAGGAAATCAGAATGAATACAGCCACAAAAAGAAGTGGCACGGGAGAGCATTGTAGATAACAGAATTGTCAGCTTTTGTTTACTAAGAAGTTTACCTTCAGTGCCTCTAAAATTTCATAAGTGAAGCCCCCCTCCCCCTAAAAAGCTTAATTTGCTAGAATATAATTCTGAAATCTCTGGAGCTGTGAAATTGTCCATGTATATAACAGAAAATATTCTGTTGCCTAAAGACTAAACTTATTAGTCAATCCTCCTTGTATTGTTTTCTGTAGTAGAGCATATATTTATAATGTTCCTTCTTTAAAAATCTGGCAATCGTATTAGCAAACGATGTGCATGGAAAATGAACAAAGTGCTAATACTTTATAAACTTTATTGCATGTGGGTGCTATGATATCTTCAGAGCTTTCGGAAAAGAAATATGTTACTGTATGGATGCCACAGGCAGAGATTATTCAATTTCAAGCGGTTGCTTGGTTTTTGTTCATTTGTCTTTGAAGCTGAATTGGAAGAAGAAAAATATTTGGACTAACTATATAACTTTCTCTTTTGTAGTAAATGCTTTTGGCTTGGAATTTTAAAATACAATAAATTGCTGTGTTTGCAAAGTTCTTAATTAGTATTTTGTTGACAAGAATCTTTGAATAACAAAAATGTTAATTTTATCCATAAAGATCAATAAGCATGGTGCATATGGCTTCTGCAAAGTATGAAATATTCTAAGCATTATTTAAGAGATAGGACAGGCTAAGGTTACGATGAAGAACCTTTTTTTTCTGTTGAGAGCTAAATTACCCTAGCAATAATCTGTATATGTCTGCATGCTGGTAGTGCATAGAACAAAAGCCTAAAAGCTTTTTTTTTTTTTTTACCCTTTTTCTGTTTCTTCAAGACTGAACTACATGTAGAATTCTACCTACTACATCAATATGTCAGTTTGCCTGTTTAAGCTGCCCCTCTCCCATTCCGTTTCACTGTTCTCCACCTAAATGAAATTAGACCCATTATGTTGAATAGTTGTTCGTCCATGTTGTATTAAGTAGCACTTACAGATTTATTTATAATTTTATATAACAACAAACACTGTTTTCTCTGTTCTCTAGGCATCATTATATGATGATGGATTGTATAAATCGTATAGTTATCGTACTGTAAGTCTATAGGACTCTCTTGGTTTTACAAGTTTTTGCATGTGTATGTGAAAATAAATAGCTGAAGAACGAAATATTTTTCCATTCCTTTCTTTTCACAACTTTTGTTTTTTAGCCTTCAGAATATAGTTATTACTCTTCAAGAACAAGTTCAGCACGAAGTAGTCCAGTGGTGAGATGTGTTCTGCATGTCTTAAAGTTTACTTCTTCTGTTTAACTATTTGTGTGGATAACTCTGATTATAAATAGATATAGATTATTAATTTGCATTATTTAAGATAATGTAAATGCAGAGTTGTTGGCTGTCATTCTGGGAATCTTCACTTCTTCAATTATATATTTTGAAAATAGAATATGAATTATTCTAACAAGAAATGTAAACTATAGTAGAAAGAATGTAACTACTATACAATCATTTTTAAAAGCTTGTATTAAAAAAAATCTTGAAATTTTGCCTGTCTATCTTATTGTATTTACTCTGTAATTAATAGTAAGCAGAAGGAGTACTTAAGGTTTTCAGTTAATGCTTCCTTTGATATTCACCTTCTACTTTTCTGTGCATACTATATCAGGAACTGGTATAATATAACTTTCACTAGTAATGCATTTGTTATAAGCTCAATATTTCACTATCCCAACTTAACATTATGGACATCACTTAGTCCTATGATAACGCATAGCATTATTTATTTATTTATTTATTTATTTATTTATTTATTATTTATTTATACATAGACTTATCT